GACTAATTCCTAGTCCTCTGGCTTACTCTGTTTTTGTAATGTGTGAAGCACGGTACGAGCGAGCAGTCACGGAGTGCCACTGCCCCTAATTGCAGTGACAATTTAGAGAAGAGTCAGTTCAGTATGGACAGAAGTCATCTGAAAGGCGTCATGAAAGAGTGACCACTGTAGCTGATTCTTAAAAGACAAATTAGAATTAAAGAGAAGAATGAACACCGCCAGTTACTGAACTAACAGAACAAGGACTCAGGCATATTCAGAGCATGTGAGCCTTCTGTGGCCATTGGGATTAGGTTAGACGGTGGGGGGTCAACTCTACACAGTCCTGGGAGACCGGCAGGGCATGGACCCAACTGTGTTAAACAGTATATGGGAAAAAAGAATAGGACAGAAAGGGCAGCTCCGAATGATGCCCCCAGGTGTGCTGGCCAACATCACACATTTACACAGAAGTTTGCATACAGCCCAAACCTTTCTGCAGCTCAATTTAGGACATGGAGAGGAATTCTTCAGCTAGAGAGTAAAAGAATACGTGGAGGATTTTGAAGACTAAGTCAAATGGGAATTGAAGCCTGTATAAGAATGATGGCAATAAACAAATGCATACAGGCATTTTTTTTGATAAAATTGGTAACGATTTGGTTTCTTGTATAAAATAGAAATAGAGGGACCAAAAGGTCAAAGTTGACAATTTGGAAGATAAGACTGTCTTGCAATAATTAGCCCCAGATCCTATAATGGATTTCAGCCTTGTGCTTAATGTTATGTGCTTTTATTTATAAATGAAAGATTAAAGAAAAAAAAACAAATGAGAGACTCGTAATACCTAAATGTCCAAATAAAAGAAAGTTGTGGAGCTGTGGACTCCGAGAATGCATGCTCAGTTGGGCTCTGTGCGCACGGCCAAGTGCCTGCCTCGTAACTGTCCAGCTAGGAGTGTGCCCTCTGAATTTACAACTTCCTAAAATAGGAGCGAGTAAAAAGAAAGGAAGTAGAAAACGCAGAACAATGTTTTTAAGTTAACTGTGGGGAAAACTTAACACCGTATTTCAAATCTTGATTTATTTATATACTTGCAGCAATGGAGGGAGATCTGTTATTCTTAACTTAAGTTACATCATGAAAACTTAAATTGTTTTATAAGAAACAATATTTTCATCAAATGAAACTATAAAAACTTCACTGGACTCTAAAGTTGGTCTGTACCTCATTTTCCTCTAATCTATAATCAGGAAATCCATTTGCCATACTTTATAATTTTTGTCCTTTTAAGTGGTCAGAAGAATGTGACATCTGCATACAGTCACGTCTACATTGATAATCGTTTGAGAGGAGTATAATTTTAAAACATAGCATCAAGAAAGTTGAATCTGTATATTAGAAGGTTGTTGAGAGGTGGTGTTTCCCACCTCCTGGGCCCCTGAATTTAAATGTGACCATGCTCTCTGGGGAATTTCTCTTAAGGTAGGACAACAGCTTCCACACAGGCTAAAGCATTCTGAGTGAGGAGGAGGCTGTGGTTTCCCAGCCAACTTAAATGCAGGCTCTTCCTAGCCATAAACCACACACATGTATTCATCATTGATTTCCAAATGATAGGTTTCAGTATCACTGGTCTAGGGTCCACAGTCTCACATTCCTGAATCTATATTATGCCAAAAGAATAACAATTTGGTGGCTGGAAACAGAAATGGTTATTATACGGCTCCAAAATGCTAGCTGGCACAATATGCTAAAAATAGCAGAAATTCACTCATAAAAAAATAGAATTTATTTGTTCATAAAAATAACTTTATGCCCTAAAAATATAAATGTAAAAAATGTCATCATAGCCGAAAATATTTTGCATTCCATGTGTAAACACCTTAAAGAATATGTAACTAATCTTCTAAAGTGGTGTAATTTCCAAATAACAGGAGATATTTCAAGAGAGAAACATAGAGCACTTTTCAATTCAGTGTTTGACTTCTGAGGTGTTTACTGAGTGAAGACCCATGGATGTGTGTTCCCTTCTTCCCTCCCCACCACTGCCTCAAGTTGCTGTTTTAAAATGTGGGCAGAAAGACGTAGGGTTTTTTGGAATGTCTCTGAGTTCACCATAGGAAATGTTTCTAAAGAGACTTTTTGGGGCCTCTGTGAAGCCGCTCCATTTTCTCACACAGCCCCGTGTTTGTTGTAGCTCAGGACAGCACACTTCGGGAGGCGGTTTTACTTCCTTTTAGCAGAATTACTCCTCCATGCAAACCAGCATCGCCTTCTACCCAGGCAGGGTTTTAGTTTCTTCTCATCTGTTCAGGCTTCGTTGCACTGCTTAACTGACAGTTCTTCTTCTTCTTTTGAAATTACTAGGCTAATTTTCCATTTGCTTGTTTATTTAAAGCAGATCTCACTCAGGGTTAGCATGTACGTGGCACATGTAACTCAGTGTCTCTGTCTCAACTTCAGTGAATGGGAAGGCATGCTGAAATGTCTTGGTTTTCACATTTTCTTTTCATCCAGGAGATTGTACAGTTCAGTCTAAGGCCCTATAAAGAATCATGATCCAGGAGACTGTACAGTTCAGTCTAAAGCCCTATGCAGAATAATCCAGCAGACTCTACAGTTCAGTCTAAGGCCTTAAGCAGAATAATGATCCAGGAGACTGTACAGTTCAGTCTAAGACCCTATAGAGAATAATCCAGGAGACTGTACAGTTCCATCTAAGGCCCTATACAGAATAATGATCCAGGAGACACATTAAATACAAAATTTCTCCGAGTATCCTCACTTACGCATCTTTTTTCTTAGGAATATAATTTGTTAATTTTTCTCCTAGTGAGAAAAGGTAAATGTATTATTTCATATAAGAAATTTTACTACCAAATGCTGTCCGAATTAACCATAACAGATAATTGGGTTTTGACATTTTTAGCCATCTATAATTTAGCAACTTTTCTTGATGTTTTATTATGGAAGATTAATCTATATTCAAATTCAGTGCAAATTACTTAAGGAACTACTTGGTAGTTGACAAATGTACTGGGGGTGTTTCATTTGTTTTATTTTAGTTTTGCCTCAAGTAATTTGTTAATTTTTATCCATAATCCAATTGCAATATTTAATCTTGAAGTTTTCATATATTCAGCCTTTTCATTTATTCATGAAACAAAACAGGTAAATGAATTGGATATCAAGAACAAATGTGTTTTGGATCATATGCTCCAACTAGATTTTTATCCAAAAAGTATTGCCAGGGGGATAATTTGAGAAGAAAGGAGCCAATATGGGGTGGAAGAGACAGTGAATAAATATATCAAGGTATATTGTATACATGTTTGAGCATGTCAAATGAAACCATTACTTTGTACAATTAATATTCACTTAGTAAAAGTTCTCGTAAGAGTCTTCTTGAAATAGTCCTGTCTTTCCCTTTGCATCGCCTTGTCTCTCCCTGAATCCATTGCAGTCGTGTCAAGAAAGATCCACACACCAGGGCTTTCCCATGTCCAGGCTTTCCAGTGCCTGGACTCTGACCACTCAGGGGCCAGTTCTATCTCTGTCCTCAAACTTGGGTGGTCTCCATTTCTACCACATTAACAGAGTTTGAGACTACCACAGACCAACTTCCAGATCCTCCACGGAACACTCCCTTTTCATTGGTTCCTTTGTAAGCAGATTCCTCTGAGTTTTCCTAAGGATGGTAAAACCCTTTCTCAGCCCTCCCCCTACCCAGTCACCCAAAGACACAGACTTAACTACTTCTTCTCTTTTGTTGAAAAGCATATTAGTCTCTGAATCTACATTAGGCAAAAAAAAAAAGTTGACTAAAGTATAATCTATATTATTCTCCAGGCATCTTGCCCTAGGTAGTCTTGTTTGTACACAAGTGTGGATTGCTTTACTAGAAAGGAATTTCAGAGCCTTCAAAGGTTGTAGCCTTGTCTTTGCATTCTCACAGAGTAGCACTTGGTCTCCTCCTTCAAAAGGTAATAGATACTTGTCTTTTGTGAAGATGACAATAACCGAAGATTAACTGCCTCCTGAAAGCCACCCCAGAAAACGACTGGTTTTCTAGGGAGTATTATTGAATCCGGCAGTGGGCTTCTCCTTTTCTCCATCAAGAAAGCTGCAGATAGCTGTTTGAGTCAGCTCTTACTTCACTTCAGGCTGCCTTTCCACCCATGTCCTTAGCTGTTTCTATCAGGGGTAGTGTGTTTTAACTGAGGGAAAAAGAAGCTTTGAAATGCCCACTTTGTTAGTAGGAAGCGAAATATCAGGTCCTAAATGAACCCAATGTCTTCACAATGAGTGTCTTTTCCTGTGTCTGGATGACTCAGCACTCAGGCATCATAGCTTCGGTGCCTGAGGACTGTCACTTTTGAAGATTTTCCTGAGCAGGAAACAGTGTGAGGCTTCAGGCTGTGTGCTGAACTTGGGGAGAAGGGTAAACCAGATGCAAGAAAGGCTATGGAGAGCTTTCCCTTAGAGCTGAGGGAGAGTGAACAGCAAGATGTGTATGCAGCTTCCCCTCCTCCCGCCTGCCCTAGAAATTACAGCTTGCAGCCTTGTCCCTTCTTCATCGAAGGATACACAGCCACACAGAAGAAAACCCAAACCAACCAAAAGAGTGAGTCACTCCGGCCCCGCCTCCGCCAAACTCGTCAATTAAAGTGCAGGACCAATTCTGTGCTTTTCTTAGATCCTGAACTGGCTGTCTGACTTTCTTCCGGGGGTGGGGGGTGGGAACTTAATAGAAAAAAAAGCATATGATATGCAGATTTCTGATCAAGCTAACAAAGATTCGTTCTCTTCTCACAGAAAAAGTTTTTAATATTCTTTCAGAGCTATATGAAACAATTAACTGGGTTGCTGCCTTTCACGCAGAGGTTAAGTCAGTCAGCCTTTGAGCTCTTGTGTGTTAGTAGAGATGTCTCACAGTTAAACTTTCCCTTTTATTCTCATACAGGCTGTGCTCAATTCTAGATTTCTCCCTGAGTTCTGTCACTGCTTTGTATTAACAGGGAACGGATATGGCAACCCCCGAAACTCACCAGGTCTGCTGGTCTCACCTGGTAACTTGAACAAGAACATTCAAGCCAAATCTCCTCCCCCTATGAATCTAGGGATGAACAACCGTAAACCAGATCTCCGAGTTCTTATTCCACCAGGCAGCAAGAACACGATGCCATCAGTGGTAATGCTCAACTCTGTCTTTAATACGTGTTGATGATAGCTTATCCGGATGTGTTTTTCTATTTTAGTATTTTTCTACATATGAATTTATGTCATCCCAGAAAATTAACTCTGTTGACTATTTTTTTATTCCTATCGATGGGACTGTACTAAGTGATTTTGCATTTTCATGTTCTATATTAAAAGAATCATAATAAACTCTTTTTCAGGATTATTTTTCTGGAATAAGAAAAAACATTCTTCCTAAGGCTCTCCATTTATAGTTAGAAAAACATTTCTCCCACCGATCAAATCATATCCCATAGGATGAGTAATTACGAAGTGCTTCATAAAAGGATCTTCACATTGTTGAGCTATTTATATTCTCAGAATGCTGACAGGGAAAAATACTTTCCCTGATTCCTAAATGAAATTTTTTATATTAATTGGAAATCCCTTTCTTATATATCACTTCTCTAATATCTAATAGGCCATATGCTTTGCATGCCTCAGTTCATCTTTGACTATACGTTCTTTATGAAAATTACTAACTCTCAAAAGCAAGCTGTATTAAACCACAAACATTTGAGAGTCAACATTACATTTTATATCAAAAAGGTTGTGACATAATTTTAAGGGAAAATATAGAATTATAAAATATAGACTTAAACATACATAAAATTCTCATGTTGTATCATTTTCTTGTTCATACGATTCAAGCCTAAGATGTAAAGAATATTGTGCTATCAAGCTCAAAAACAAAGATGATAGAAGGAGAGAGAGGTTTAATAAAGTGTTCTCCAAATCAGCAGCACTTACCAGTGAGAAATTTATAGCAAAGATTTAGTAGGCAGATTTAAATTATTCTACAAATATTTCTTTCTTTCTGTTCTTTAGAATTCTCTGCTCTGTGGCATGCTTAGGAGTAAAATAGTCCTGTGAACCAATTGGTTTATTATTATATTCATTTTGAGTATCTAGGCAAAATCAAATAATATGCGACATTCCCTTTAGAAAAGACTGGGTCTAATAAATAAAACCTCCCACGGTGATGCAGTCGGTGTGGGCCAGGCATGGCAAACAGTGACTCTCAGTAAATTTATTCCACATCCCTTAAAACTGATGCATTCCCATGGATTCTGCAAGTGGCAGGCCGTGTCTCTCTCTGGCTGTCAGGTGTGACACCCTCTTCCCCTAGCAAGTAGGATTTAAGATACGATCCTTATTGTTTTTTATCAAAATATGGTGGTGAAATAATGACCATGGAGACACCGACGTGTGCTGAAACCCAGCTATAAAGACATACTGCCTTGGCATTCGGAACCAGCACCTCGCTAGGGAAACAAAGGATGCCTTTGTTAAGGGTTGCCTTTGGAATCTGCTGTGTAAAACTGCTTAAATTGTTGTGTCTATCAGGGGGTGCTTCTCCTTTTGCTGAAAAGATTTTCACAGTGATAAATATTTACAGACACTAATTAATAAACTCCTTCCCCATGCTCTCAGTCTGAGGATGTGGACCTGCTGTTGGTAAGTGGTAAGAATGTTTCTCTTGGAGGGCATGCTCAGGAAGAAAGAAAAGCTACTTTAGTGTAAGGTGCTAGCTGTGATCAAATAGAAAGACTTTAAAACTGACCTTGCTGAATGAGGATAATGATTAGCTTAATCATCTTGAGTTTTTAGGGTCACTGACAGGTGGAAAAGAACACCTGATTTTTGTGGGTCTTTTTCCATGTCCCCACCTTTTAACTAGAGGCCATATTTTCAGTATTTTAAGACTGAACTTTCTCTAAAATCCAAACACAAAAAATATTTCTTTAGGTATTAAAGTGTAAAATGCTTATTTTTCAAGATTTAAAATACCATTATTCTAAGCAAATGCATCTTTTACCTCCTTGTTCTAAGGAGTTAATTACAGGCATTAGCTACTTTGCCATCTATGCAAGGAAGTTTAGAAGCTGAAGAAAGTGGTCAGAGCACCACCTGCTGGTCAGAATATAGCATGAACCCGTATCTGTCAGCTCAGCTGTATATAGAACTAACTAATCATAAAACCCATCATGGTTGATTTTAATTTTTTAATTTGCATTTGAATAAAAACTGAAACAATAGCACTACAGTATACATATTTCATCAGTTCTCAACATAGTCTGTTTTTACCCATAAGAAAGCTATGGTACTTGTTACTAGTTCAGTTGCCTAGGAGATACTGATGTAATGGGTTACTATGGCAACAGCTGGTCTCTTGAAGGATTGTAAATGATAGGGTTGGCAGAGTTCATAGAGACACATGTTAAATGATTAATTTCGTGAGCATTGTACCAACTTATTTCTTTATGTGAAAAACTAATACTGAGACCTAATATTTTTAACTTTTTAAAATTTGCCATCAATAATGTCCTTTTATTTACTTTAAAAGAATCAAAGGATAAATAACTCCCAGTCGGCTCAGTCATTGGCTACCCCAGTGGTTTCCGTAGCAACACCTACTTTACCAGGACAAGGAATGGGAGGATATCCATCAGCCATTTCAACAACATATGGTACTGGTGAGTAGCTTTGCTATGTGCAAATATTACAGTAAACACTTCTTTAAAAAGCAGATTTTAAAAGTTGTTTTCTCTACCCTGTAGGGAGCTTATGTGGTGCCCGTGTCCAGAGTGCACTGCACCATTATGTAGGCTCTGCTAAGGCAAAGTGATTGTCTAGACGTACTCTTTCTTTAAGTCTCTGGAAGTTTTATTCGCCCTAAGTGAATTCAAATGTCAAGGAAACTGAGCTGCTATTTCTTTAGTGTAATAGAAAGCTCACTTTATGGAGATTTTTAAATGAAAAAAATTTCTAAACCATAAAACATGTGCATACTTTATACTTTAAACAAAGTGAGTATAATAAGCTATAATTGCAGGATCTATTCCTTTTAATCTTTTGTGAAATCTTTACTGGGGTGAATAATATTTTTCTTTCTAAATTAAAATTATCCCTGGTGTTTTATTTTCTTCTCTTCTCAAATCAAAGCCTTTGACTCAAGCATGTTTTAGAAATCGAAACTGTTTAATTTTGTTTACCATTTGACAGTTTCCAAATTAAGTGTTTTCCTTGCTGCCACCCTCATTTCCTCCTCTAGAGTACTCTCTGAGTAGCGCCGACCTGTCATCTCTGTCTGGCTTCAACACTGCCAGTGCGCTTCACCTTGGCTCAGTCACTGGCTGGCAACAGCAGCACCTCCATAACATGCCACCATCTGCCCTCAGTCAATTGGGGTAAGCAATATTTATGTCTTTCTATCGTAACCGGAGACTGTGTTTTTTAATGATAAAGGCCTGTCCTTAACTTTGTGCTTTCATATCCATGAAAGGACATAAAATCTGATTTCTGTGAAAGACACTTTCAGATCGCACGTTTCAAGTACTTTAGGTATTCTCTCATGTGTTTTTTATGTGAATGGGGAGCACTAATAGGTACAGTCTTTCCTCGGTGTGCGAGACTCTCCTTCTAATGTTGCCAGGGATGAAGCTTTGGGTTAGATTTCTTTAAGGTTACTTTTTTGAACAATTTGAAAGTTATTATTCTTTACATTTTTGAGCTGAGGTTCTCACTTAACACAAACTACGTAATTTCCTCTAATATGAACCTAATGCTTATAAAATCAACTGTTGAATTTCTATACAGACTTTAAATATGTATAGTATTCATTCATAGTATAGTTGCCTAGTTATATCCATTGTATTAAAATATATGTGCAAATACTAATTACACATGCAATACTAATTGCTGAATTTGAGTATAAAATAACTTTTGTTGTTCTCTGGTCAAAGTATGTATCTTTCTGCCCCCTTGTGGTAGCTTTGAGATGCATCTTTGTCATGGAAATGCCTTATGTCTATGGAGAAACCCGAACTATAAATGCCCTGAATCTCTATCTTATAACAGCTAAATCAGACACCTCACTTTAATCTGAAATAATAATTGCAGAATTCAGTTAATCTTAAAAAACAAATAGGACATAACTACTTAAAAGATGATTTTAGAAACATCCTACATCCCCACCCCTCTTTCAGTTTTCTATTGAGCCATTTTAGTTACGAGATAGTAATATTAGTTAACAAGTTTTGTATCTGTATGCCTAGGAAAGTCTATTGATTCAAGTGAAAGTCGCTAATTGGTACTATAGCTTCATTATTCTTGCCTTCTCCTCTCCACTCCCCCACTGAACTTCAATGGGTACTGATGCAACATAGACCAGAGTTCTAACACACCTCTCAATGGGTACTGATGTAACATAGACCAGAGTTCTAACACACCTCTCAATGGGTACTGATGTAACACAGACCAGAGTTCTAACACACCCCTCAATGGGTACTGATGTAACATAGATCAGAGTTCTAACACACCATTCAATGAGTACTGATGTAACATAGGTCAGGGTTCTAACACACCATTCAAGAGTCTTTTGCTATGGCTACTCCACTGAGAAATCACTCTCATTGGAAATCTAGCCTTCCATGTGCACAATAAAACAAATTCCCATGGCATTAGCTGTGCTTTCTTCAAAGAGCGCTGCCATTGAAGATGTATGAAATGTTGATCAACAATGTTCTTTTTCAGATATTTAAATTTTCTGTCCAGTGCTAATTATGCAAGTAGATTCTAATTGCAATGATCTTTTTTAGAAATCATCACTAAGTACAGAATACTATCCAGACACTTTTGCGTATGTCTGCACAGCAATGTACTGACCTACTTCTCAATAAGGGAACTATTCATTTCTGATTTTTCACAAAAGTCATCCATCATGGCACCAAATTCAATCCCCCACACACAAGATATTATTCATGTCAAAAAGCCTTGTAATGATCAGCCCGATGGCTCGGTGGCTAAAGGTCCTTGTCACAAAGCCTCGTTAACAACCTTGACAACCTGACTTTGATTACTGGGACCCACAGGTGGAAAGAGAACCAAGGTGTACATGCACTTGCACCCACATACACAGAATAAGTAAGTACAGAATACAGTTTGAAGTCATGTCATTTCATTTGAATGCCACCTTTTTTTGCTTGTGGATAATACCAGACCATTATTAATTATGAGGGCATACACATATTGCTACTTTGACCATACACAGAATTGGAAAACCTATTACATGGGAAAACATAATTCTCTACTACGTTTAAGTGAGAAGGGAATTAGTGTTACCCCAACACTAAAGGAAAACTGAGTTCCAGCAACCAACGGTCCATCCCCCCTTTTCTTTCAAAACTAAGTCTTCTTGTGCATAATTTGAATTTTGTCTATGAGGTACAGTTGCCCTTAATCGGTGCCCTTCTACCTCAAACTGGGAGAACAATCAATCATTACAATTTTATAGTCAGCACGACCACCCGCCTCTCTCCTCCTCCTCCATCACCATATACCTTCTTGCTCATCCTATTTCATAGTAGTTATTCATAAGCTATCTTCAGATAAGCTGACTCACTCTTACACACTGTTTTGTAGAAAACCCCAACTTATATTGCTTATGTAAAATAAGGTATATAATTTGTTAGAGCAGCGACTCTCAACCTGTGGGTCAAAACTTTTATGCAGGGTCATGTGTCAGACATCCTGTATATCAGATAGCTATATTATGATTCATAACAGGAGCAAAATTGCAATTATGGAATAACAACAAAAATATTTTATGGTTGGGGGTCACCACATCATGAGGAACTGTAGTAAAGAGTCGGCAGCAGGAAGGTTGAAAACCACAGCCTTAGAAAATGAGACAACTAAAAGGACTGATATGTTTTCAAATGAAAGGGTCTCACAGATTTGTGCTTAGGGCTCATTTTTTTAGGTAGGTACTCTATTTTAAGCAAAGAATGGAACAGATTTTAGCTGCAACAAAGTGAATCCTAAAATGGCTACTGTAATTCTCTGACAAAATTGCCGAGTATAATAGAACTCTCCCTATTTGTCCACGAAAACAAAAATGTCTGCTTTGTCCTATACAACATTGTCTGCAAGGCTAGGCTTGAGAAACTGAGTAGTATCTATTTTATATAATGAAGTTAGACAAAAAGCATGCACCAATTTTATGTAGGAAGAGACATTCCTGGTGAGGGGATTCACCACTTTAGAGCCCGACCCTTGACTTTTAGGTACTCTTTTGATTGCTGTCTAGAAAATGGCAGCCTGTTTTCCGGAAGTCGGCCCACTCAATGTCTTTGTTATGAGAATACTCAATACATACTGAGAGAGGGAGAAAGGGAGATTGAATAGAGATTACTTTTAAAAGTTAGGCTTTATGGCTGTGTGGTTCTAGTCTTAGTCTGGTCTACATAGTAAATCCCTGTCAATCAGGGCTACATAGTGAAACCCAGCCCCCCCCCAAGAAAAAAAGAAAAAAAAAGAAAGAAAAAAAGCAAAGAAAATGAAAAACTGAGGCTCGGGGACTGGAGAGATGGTGGTTCGGCAGCTGGCAGCTTTTACTGGTCTTGCAGAAGACCCAGGACACCCATGGCAGATGATTTACAGCTATCTGTAAGTCTAGCTCCAGACATATCCAACACCCTCTTCTGGCTTCCCCATACCTGCACACATATGCACAGACTCACACAGAGACATACACATCCACACATAAATAAAAATAAATCAGTCTTTAAAAACAACTAGGCTCAGCTGAGTCTGATGTGCACACCCATAGTCCTAGCACCTAGGAGACCAAGACGGGAGGACTAGAAGTTTGAGGCCAGCCTCCAATGAGACTGTCTCATGGAGAGGGGGAAAAGATAAATGTATTAGGTGAACCTAATTTTCTCTAGGTGGTAGAGTGAGATGAACTTACAAAAAAATCCATATTTTATTTCTGAATGATTTGGAGGAAGGGAAGCTTGCTTTGCTTAAAATCGGAACTAGTGCAGAGGACCTCGTAAGGTACCCTACACACCTGGCCCCCGCCCACCCCTCCTCCTACCTCTTTCTTACCCTCTCACACCTGTAGCATCTCACAGCTGTCTATGGCTATATTTTGCTCTCAAGAAAAGACTAGTCTATATACACTTAGATGAGGTGGACACTGCATTTTCTTGTTGAGAAAGTGCTTCTTTGACAGCAGAGGTTAGCCACTCTATGCTGCATCCTGCGCTACAGGGAAATGATGAGATGAGGAGACCATTGCTATCTCTTTACTGTAGATTTAGTCCTCACAGTGCCACAGCTCAGAATAAACTTGTATATATGTTTAGTGGCAAATGAAATCCCACTACCGGATAAATGGTTCTAGTTAAAGAAAAGAATTGCCAAAAGTTGCTTGACCTGCAAGATGCAACTAGATGTCCACACAGCCATTGATAATGGGAACTGAAGCAAATAAAAGGGTAGTTCAGCTTTAAGATGTCATTAGAAAACATCATTTTGCTCATACTACTCATATATATATATNCAGCTTACCAATTTTTTTTAGAAATTTCCCAATCTACTATGTTTAGAGAAAAGCAAGTGAAATGTCAATGAGTGAAGAACAGTATTTATTGATGTGCTGTGTCATTTCCAGGCTCCTAATTGACATTCATTATTAAGCACTTGTATGAGCCACAGCAGAGGCATTCAATTAAATGTTAGTGAAAAGATTTTTCTTACCCAGAGCCAGGAAAACTCTTTCTTCCAGAAATCAAAAGAGGATTTCCTCGAACATCAAAATGAATCATTAAGTACCTTTGAACCAGTATAAAATAATCCACCATTATGGTGCCTTTGAAATTCAGGTATTTCCCTGCCCCTATCTCAACATATTCATGATTTAAAATAACTAAATGTCTTAGGAAATTAGAGAACTAAATAAACTAAAATAACAAGTTTCAGGTAAAATAGTTGCACAAATAAACAGAGATAAAACCTGTGTGCACTGGGATTGAGTGCTCAGACTGCCAAAGAATGAAGGGCTCATTAAAACAGCAAAGAATTCCCTATATATTGTCCTCCATGTTAGCTCATCTATTAATAAAAGGAAAGTAATTCCTTGCCAGTAGGTGGTGCTTTTGTATAAAACATTACTCAAAGATAAACTCATTCCTGACTAATTTTATATCTCTGTGCACCCTACTCCTCTACCACATCTCCCAAAAGGCCAGCCCCAAGTTATTCTAGTTTTCTCTGAAATATACTCATATTGTTTCCCTGCTTAGAAAGGCACGTGTAGTTCTCCCCACTAGGAAGCAGCAAGCTTACACACATGAATAGGTAGGCTTACTTGTGGTTAAATTCGTGTGTCTGTACAGATGATTATTTTCTGTGAAAATCCCTCAGTTAAAGCGACTCCTGTACTTTCTTGACAGTGTAGTTGGGTCAGCTAGGCTCTGGCGGTGGATGTCAATGCAATCAGAATACAGGAACAACAAAAACGTCTTAAAGTTGATGCAAGGTGACCACAGTTTGCCCTGCTCAAAGTCACTGATTGCCAAGCTACACGTAAAGGCTTAATGCGTCTCTCTCTCTCCAGAATATCGTGTCTAAAGTCTCCCAGAACACACTCTTGAAATCAGCGAGGATTAGAAGTATAGTAATAGAATACTCCCTCGTTCTTTGCCACGTCATTTTCTTAGGAATCACTTGATTCACCAAATAATATGAGTTATAAGTAGAGGACTGTGGTCCTAAGTCCCCTGTCATCACTACTGCTTAGCCAGAGTATGGCTAGCAGAATCAGGAACTGCAGATAAGGCTTTCACCCCACACACCTACAGAAGATAATGTTCAGTTATGCATCAGTTTTAGTGAGATGTTTTTAAATCGATATTTAAATTTTCACTGTTCAGTCCTCTTCCCCTCCTTCCCCTCCCAAGCTTTACATCGGATATATATATATATATATATATATATATATATATATATATTTATTGAAATGTTCTGTTCATTTGAAATTCAAACTGTTCACTTCCCCTTAGTACTGTATTAACTCTACTTGTATGGGTATATGATATGAAAGGAAAGAAAGCTTAAAATAATTTTCAGTGCAGGAATTAGTAAACCAAGAGAGGCTGGCCCAAATCGAAACACCATTCCCCAAGGTTTAGAAAATGAAAGATTGGAATCGTACAGGGAAAATTCCGCGAACATAGAATGACTTTTGTATCATGTCTTAAACCTTTATGAAAAGGTAATCAATATGGTTTTGGAGTCTCTTGGGGCCTATAGATCATCCAGGAAGCCTAGGCCTGTTCAGTAGAGCGTTTCCCACCAGGCAGAGGCATTCTCAACCAACGTCACTAGGCAGCGACACCCCTCGGTGCTGAGATGCGCTTCTCTCTGGGCGTGCACTAGAGTCTATGCAAGTCGTTACGCTGATATGTTTGTAATGTGAGTTCCTGGGGCCTGCAGGCCTCCTCCATCTGTAACTGGGTTTCCTTTCCTCCTACAGAGCTTGCACTAGCACTCATTTATCTCAGAGTTCAAATCTCTCCCTGCCTTCTACTCAAAGCCTCAACATCAAGTCAGAACCTGTTTCTCCTCCTAGAGACCGTACCACCACCCCTTCGAGATACCCACAACACACGCGCCACGAGGCGGGGAGGTCTCCTGTTGATAGCTTGAGCAGCTGTAGCAGTTCCTACGATGGGAGCGACCGAGAGGATCACCGGAACGAATTCCACTCCCCCATTGGACTCACCAGACCTTCGCCGGACGAAAGGGAAAGTCCCTCAGTCAAGCGCATGCGGCTCTCTGAAGGATGGGCAACATGATCACATTATTACTTAATAGTTTTTTTTTTTCTTGCAGTGTGTGTGTGTGTGCTATACCTTAATGGGGAAGGGGGGTCGATATGCATTATATGTGCCGTGTGTGGAAAAAAAAAAAACCGTCAGGTACTCTGTTTTGTAAAAGTACTTTTAAATTGCCTCAGTGATACAGTATAAAGATAAACAGAAATGCTGAGATAAGCTTAGCACTCGAGTTGTACAACAGAACACTTGTACAAAATAGATTTTAAGGCTAACTTCTCTTCACTGTTGTGCTCCTTTGCAAAATGTATGTTACAATAGATAGTGTCATGTTGCAGGTTCAACGTTATTTACATGTAAATAGACAAAAGGAAACATTTGCCAAAAGCGGCAGATCTTTACTGAAAGAGAGCAGCTGTTATGCAACATATAGAAAAATGTATAGAAGTTTGGACAGACCCGGAAAGGGGTGGCCATTGGTAAATGTTAGGAACATGCCCGGTCACCTAATGTCCCGAGCACGCTCACAAACCTGCAGGCAAATCATTGGCGTATGGCACTCATTCAAAAGGATCAGAAACCATTCAAAGAGGACCATACCTACTTTAAAAGAAAAGAAAAGAAAAAAAAGCAAAAATAGAAAAAAAAAATAAAAACAAAAAAGTGTGGCGTTTGAGAGCTAACGTATTTAATTAAATAAATAAATCTGGGTCTGCATCTCTTATTAAATAAAAAATATAAAAATATGTACATTACATTTTGCTTATTTTCATATAAAAGGTAAGAAAGAGTTTGCAAAGCATTTGTGGCTTTTTGTAGTTTACTTAAGCCAAAATGTGTTTTTTCCCCTCAATAGCTTCGCTAATATTTTAAACAGTCCTGTAAAAATCCACAGAGGACTTTTTGTATAGAAAGCACTACCCTAAGCCATGAGGAACTCCATGCTTTGCTAACCAAGATAACTGTTTTCTCTTTGTAGAAGTTTTGTTTTTGAAATGTGTATTTCTAATTATATAAAATATTAAGAATCTTTTAAAAATCTGTGAAATTAACATGCTTGTGTATAGCTTTCTAATATATATAATATTATGGTAATGGCAGAAGTTTTGTTTTCTTAATAGCGGGAGGGGGGTATATTTGTGCAGTTGCACACTTGAGTAACTATTTTCTTTCTGATTTCTTTTACTCTGCATACATTTTATAAGTTCAAGGTCAGCTGTCAAAAGGATAACCTGTGGGGTTAGAACATAATACATTGCAACATCCTAAATCATTTTTAAAACATCAACAAATTATTGGGTCAACTGACATCCATTGTATATACTAATTGGTTTCTTTCAAACTATCTTGTTTTGTTTCTTTGCATTTTATCAAAAGCAGGGCCCCTTTCAGATCTCTCCATTTCACCACGCATCTTGGAATTCAGTAAGTTCATATCCTAACTTGCCCATATTCTAAATTTACATAGTTCATGTTCAGCCTTGAATTTGATGTTTCTTAGTATTCCCAGAGTAAGAAGCTGTGTGGTTACATGTCCTGCAAGTTGGGCCCTAGGAAGAAGAGACGTGAGGGCTTTTTTGTTGTTGTTGTTTTGCTTTTTGGTTTTTTTTTTGGGGGGGGGTGGATAAGTTACAGATCTCTGTAGAAGAAAACTGTGGAAGAGTGGGTGCTAGAAAGGAGGGTAACGGTGGAGGGACAGTTGCTTGTCGTCCACCCTCATGATTTTAATTGACTCGTAACAATCTTGTCAGCAGTGTAGGACTGTTGGACAGCCTGGTGTGCAGGACCCCCAATGTCCCTTCTGCATAAAGCATGTATGTCATCTATTTTTCCTTCAATAAAGAGATTTAATAGCCATTTCAAGAAATCCCATTTTAAAAAAATACTTTCTCTATGTCCCTTTTTATTATAAATAATTTAACTCTTGTCTAATATTCATGTGTAAGGGATTAATTTTCAGACCCTTTAAAAGTGAGTGCCATAAAGAATCAGTATATAGTGTTGAAGTGATATTTCAGGCTAGGAAATGGTTTCCTTCTCTGGAATGGGCAGACGAGTCAGTTCATCTCCAGTCACCAGTACTGACATGAGGAGCCAAGAATACAGTGATCTCAGTCTGCTAGATCATGTGTAGGACATGTTCATCCAGTTTTTTATTTCCTTTTACCTGCATAGTTACTATGTGTTTCTCACTGTAAAAGGCTGCCGCTGGGTGGCAGAAGCCAAAAGACCTTTAACGAGGCTATATTTTTCTTAACTTGATCTGCAGTCCATAATTAGACCACGATGCACCTTTGGTTGTATCTATATAGGATGCTAGCCTGCCTTGTACTAATGTTTTATATATTAAAAACAAAATAAAGATATCAATCATTTCATATATATCCCACTACTAAAGGTATCCATGGAACATGAAGACTAGTATTTATGCAGAAGAAAAACAGGAAATTAACCCCTACAAATACGGTTATCTATACACCTGTTTGCATGTTCGCGTATGTACACAAACATGCAGTTGAAGTGAAAAAGAAAATCAGTCCATTATTTCACTCTAGACTTGATTCCATCCTGACGATTCATGTTTATAACTTAATATGTATTAAATATGCAAGCATATCACAAATGTTCTCTGTCATTTCAAAATGCATTTGTTTATCAGTATCAATAGAATCTTGCCAGTGGGTGGGAAAGGGTCATATAAAAATATGAAGAAATAGCCATATTAAAATTTTACCTGCCATTTGCCTCCGCAACAAAGCAAACTTGAGTTTCTAATGCTAAAGATAGAATAAGCTAATGCAGCAGCAGGGGCATCTGCTGTTTATAGCAGCTCTGACAATAGGTTTTTACAAACTCAAGAACAGACTCACTTGAAAACGGACTCCAGTCACCTCCTTCCCACTACTGAATTCAAAGCAGTAGCAGATAGCGAAGGGATAATCCAAGGATTTTTAAAGATGATTTTATGAGAAGCACAATCTTTATTGTGACCGGTAACATTCTCTGAACAGTCACACCTGTCTGTCTTTACCCTCCTGCCTTTCTGTAACTCACCGCTTGCTGTATTGGAAAACCAAGTATGGTTTTTAATCACAGAAAGTCCTTTGTATCCAGGAGTCCGGGGCAGAGCTCTGAGGGTCTATTATTTTACATTACCTGGCCTAGAGTGGCATTTTAGACAACATTCATCCTTGCAAGTAGGAGAACTGTAAGTGGCATTTTACATGGCTGCAAGTATTGTTATACCTAATCCTATATGAAAAGAATTTTGGTAACAGTAAGCTGAAAACCGGTAGCGGTGTCGCAGCGCATGCGAGCTGCGCACCTGTAGACTGTTCGCACTGACGTGTGGAGGCTGTTTGATTCAACCTTTTTTAAAATTGTGTTTTTTAGTAAAATGGCTTATTTTTTCCCAAAGGTGGAGTTTAACGTTTTGTAATGATGAATATGAAAATGCCTGTCATCTTTAGATCATTTAAAGGTTAACTAAAGTGAGAATTGCAAAACAAACCCCAATACACTTTTGAAAAGCATGCCTGCCCTCTCTCACCTCTGTTTTTTGACATACATACCCTTTATCTTAGAGACACCATTTGCTCCCTCCATCCCCTTCGCTTGCTTTCTCCCCAGAGAGTAAATGCTTTCTTTGTATTTCTTTAAAAAAAAAAATCTTATTTTTTTTTTTGAAGAAGAAGCCACTTGAACCTTAATAAAGGCTGTTGCCTAAGCATGGCACACTTCATCTGTTCTCATTTGTGCCATCTGCTCTGGTGTCGTCACTTGTATGGCGTTAATTTCCTGCCACTACAGATCTTTGAAGATTGCTTGACTACTGGTGTTTGTTCGAATGCTCCAGACTACAGATGCAATGAAAGGCTTTTCTCACTATGTTTTAACCAAAGATGTGGAGCAATCCAAGCCACATATCTTCGCCATTAAATTTGTCCATTTTGGTTATTTTCATAATCGGGTATTGCATTTTGCCTTCCCTGTTCATACCTCAAATTGATTCATACCTCAGTTTAATCCAAGGAGGTTGGCTAAGGGATAGATCCTGCTGTGGTTTGCATGCAGCAGCCGACTCGGAGCAGACAGACCCGGGTCATGGTAGGCATAGGACTTGGATTGCTTCAGATGGTTTGCTGTATCAGTTTCTTTCTTTTTCCTTTTCTGAGGACTTGTTTCCATTCAACGAGAGTAATTACAATGGCTTGTAAGTGAGGGCGTACAAGCATTTGCAACAAGTATCCAAATAGAGGCTCACAGCGGCATAAGCTGGACTTTGTCGCCACTAGATGACAAGATGTTATACCAAGTTCAACCACATCTGTGTATCTCAAGGGACTTAAATTCAGCTGTCTGTAGTGAATTAAAGTGGGGAATTTTCAAAAGTTTCTCCTGCTGGAAATAAGGTATAATTTGTATTTTGCAGACAATTCAGTAAAGTTACTGGCTTTCTTAGTGATGAAGTCTCTGTGGTGCGTTCTTTTAATTAATGTTTTGCTGTTCAAATTTATTCCACTTTATTATGTTTTTTTTAAAGCAACTTATCCCCAAGCACAAATGAGCTTTCTCAGTTTTGAGCTCAAAATATATGAAAAGATGGATATGTGTGGGAAGGTGTGAATTGGGTAACAGTTCTTAAGATAGGGGAGTATTCAGTCAGTGTGGGAAGTTGAAGCTTTTTACTGACTGGGGCAACTTTTTTCTCCAAGTGGCTCCAAAGAAATCTTGATTTGTCTGGTGACATAATTTCCCAGGGTCCTTATGAAAGGCATTACCAGGAAACAAATTATCATTTTAACTAAAATGTATAGAAAGTATTTTTCAGAAGCCTTCCTTTTTTAATCAAAAGAGCTTTTCTAAAAGTTGGAAATAGAAGCTTATATCTAAGTATTTGAGTAAACCAGTGAAATCATATATTCTTGAAACTACAAATTATATACATTACCATAATCCAATCATAATTCTAATATGAGTGTTCTTAGAAGATCAATATGAGTCCATGTAGCAACTGAAAGGGGGAAAGGGGCTCGCTGCCAAGCAATTAGACACTTTGGACTTTTGCATTAACAGTGATTCTTGATCTGAAAAAATGAAAGAAAGGTGCCTCGTGGACATTCTGCACATGACTTCAAAATGAGCATTGCTCTCTCTAATTGATTTCAGCAAACATTTATTCAGCAATAATCATCTGTGGCTCTTGTGGTAGCTTCCAGGATGCAGGAAGATAGGTTCCCTGCTTTCAGAAACTAATGGGAGACAGAAAGTGTTTTCAGAGGAGCCTTGGAGAGGAAAGCTTTGACCACCTAGGAAGGCAGAGACAGGCCCAGAGTGCAGAAGCTTTAAAATCTGGTTAGCTAGCAAAGCCTTGCCTTTCCTTTTGAAAGGTGGGCAGGATTAAGAAAGGCTCAGAAAGATCAAGCAGGCTGACTTCATGGCCCATGATCCTGTCCTATGTTGACAGTAGTGCTCTCTTCTCACCATCTTGGAATATAATAATGTTACCTGTGAGCTTGTGTTCTGTAGGCAAAGTGCAGTGGGACAGTAGACTATGTGTGTAAACCGAAGACACACACAGGAAAAGGGGAAAGACTTCGCACTGATCCCTTTAGCAGAAGATAGCGTTTCCTGCTTCTGTGACAAGGAACCCCACTTTGTCACTTCCCTCTGGGTTCAGCAGCCTGATTCCAGCCCCAGGTAAGGATGTTCCACAAAGGAGCAGTAAATGCGAAAACACTCAGCTGAGAGAGCAGAATAGAGCTGCACAAGAATTGTAGACATTTCTATTTCGACTAAGGGAAACCATGAGTTTAAAAAAAGAAAGAAAGAAAGAAAGAAAGAAAGAAAGAAAGAAAGAAAGAAAGAAAGAAAGAAAGAAAGAAAAAGAAACGAGAAATAAGAGTGGGAGAATTAGCTAAGGGCTTGATTAGATCATGTCTGGATTTAAGGACTCAGTTAACACTGGGTGATAGTGGCACATGCATTTGATCCCAGCACTTAGGAGGAAGAGAAAGACAGGTGAATTTTGAGACCAGCCTGGTCTACATAGTGACTTCCAAGACAGCCAGGGCTACACAGAGAAACCCTGTCTCAAAAAAAGTTAACTATGGATGTAGATCCCTGTGCCTCTAAATTTCAGCACTCCAAGAGGCAGAAGCAAGACGATCACTGTCAGTTTGAGGTTAGCCTGTTCTACTTGGTTATTTCCAGACCAGACAGGGATACATAGTAAGACTATGTCTCTAAAAAGAAAATAAAAAAGTTGATTAATTTATAAAAGAGAGTTATCAGAATTCACAAAAACATTAGATTAATGGTTAGCTCAACATTGCACTAAGAATCATAAAAGTTAATTATTAAGATCCTGATAATCACAAACAGAGGAGCCATCTCTCTGTGGCACAGTAGTGTTCCATAGATTGAGTTAAACTTATATCCATGAGAATATTATAAATATGAGCTTAACTTCAGGGTATCAGTTAGTGCAAAAGAGAGTTTGGGTTGTTCCAGAAGAGATAAAGTGAAGCCACACCAGTAAGTAAGCTTCTTGAGGAGAAAGGAGAAGAATGGAGTAGCTTAGAAGAGAAAGTAGCAGAGAGGAGACCTGCAGAGATGAAAATCAACAGTGAAGAACTCAAGAATGAGCAGTCAGACAAAATGGAAACTGAAGCTGTCATGGTCAGAGAGGATCCAAGAATAATACACACACAACTATGTCAAGGACTGCACTGGGGTCACTGAGCAAGAGGACAGAAAAGAGCATCTTGCTTGCTCTGAGGAATAACTTAGACTGCCTTTTCTACAAGCTGTTGTGGGAGCCAATGGAGGCCAAAAGGGATTAGCTGGTAGGTATTACCAAATTTCAGGCAGCAAATATGAACTAAACTCAAAAAGTTTTGGTAACTAAAATAAAAGCTAACTTGCATGCCAGACATGATCGCACACACATTTAATCCCAGCACTCACAAGACAGAAGCAGGTGGGTCTATGTGAGTTCCGTACCAGCCTGGTCTATATAGCTAATTCCAGGCCAGTATTGCATAGTGAAACCCTGTCTCAAAAGCAAAGAAAAAGAAAAGATAGGTTGAGTGGATAGCAAAGTCAAGGACCAAAGGTAGGCCTTTAGCACAGCAGATGTCTACACAATGTACAGGACAGAAGACAGAAGAGAGAGGACACAGGCTCTCTCTTACCAATGGCTAGAAACTAGTACTGTGTGCCCCCAAAGCCCAAATGGGATGCAGTTTCTCTATGCCAATGATTTTGGGATACCTTGGTTAAATATCATTACTTTTATTGACCGTGGAAACCTATCTGGCACAGAATATCTGAATCTTCATGTTTTTAAATTTAAAACATCATTTTCCAATTTCACTTGAACATTACTCTGGCATTTTCTTATGGTTACCCCTACAGACTGACTTCTAATCAAGGTGCAGTGATAAAAGAAGAAAGGCAACTTCCCTTCCTCATTCTGTATCTCCCATGGACTTCTAATTGCCTCTACTTCTTGAAGTAAATATCTTCCTCCCCCCAAATGGGGCTACTCTTTAATCTTCCCATTCCAGGCTCTTCTTAGGCACTTTTGATTAAGAAGCAAGGGCTAAGAAAGCATATAAGAAAGTGCTTGAGGGTCATAATTTGGGACCCTCACGTGCAGTTTCTGGGTTTGATGCAGCCTTGATGCCAGGTCAGCATCACCGCGCCCTTGACTAGCAGACTAGAGAAGAATCCACAGCCCTGATATGCCCATTCCTGGTAGATGACTTTTGTTCTTGGCCAAATGGAAATGATGATAACCGTTACTGCAAATACCAGACTGACAGTTGGGTAGCATTGAGGAGCAGTGGAACAATCCCAAGCTAAACAGAGGGTGACTAGGAGAGCCCTTGCTCAGGCACTACAAAGCCAGTGGGTGGCACAGGGCCATCATCAGATCCCATGTCTGGCCCTCCCTTCCACAAAAGGAAATCAAGTTCATCCCTGGAGTTGCAGTGGCAGGGGCAGCCTGGGAAAACAGAAGAGATGCTGGGGGTAGTAATACTTTAAGTTACTTCTTCTCTTTATACTGGTTTTCTGTGACTCGCGGGGTCTGTCATTGACTCCCATAAATAACTCTGAAGCTCAAGTAATAGCATTTTGGGAGCTAATCACTAAACAGATCAGGAGCTCTACTCTCCTCATACATCGCTCAATCCCACCAGATAGAACACTGGTGAAAGTAGCCCAACTTTTCCTACAGTGACTACAGTCTGCTCTTTTTTATTTCCTTGGGGATACTGCATTTATTCTCCAAAATTCATTCGGTATGCCCTTGCTATATTGATGTTCAATACCTAATTCTTCTGCTTATGGAGAAAGTCATGTTGTATAGGTGTCAAAGCTCCCTGTGGATGGTTCTAAATACATAACACACACAACCATTCCTAGAAGTATTCTGAGTTCCTCTGTTTATGAATAAAATTTCTGCTTCATATACAAACTACTTTGTTTCTTAAAGTTTGGATATGTACTAATTTTGTTTAGAGTGTAGGGAAGGGGCCCGTCTGTAAAGGATGTTAAAGTAAATTGTGATATAGCTATATGATGGAATAATCTGCAGTTTGGGGCCGGGAGATAAAACCTCTAGGTGTTGATATGCAAAATTACCAAAACATTTTACTACATCTTTTTTTCTTTTGTTTTTTCTTTTTGTCCTGGAATTTGTTTTGTGGATCAGACTGACCTCAAACTCAGAGATTCTCTCTCTTGTGCCTCTTGAGTGGTGGAATTAAAGTAGCATGCCGCCATGCCTGGCAGGTTTTATTTTTTTTTCAACAATGAAACAGCATATAGAGTATGCTGCATTTTAGACAAGAAGGGGGAAGAGGAAGCTACTGAATAAAGAAGAAAGGAAGCTACACACACACACACACACACACACACACACACACACACACAAACCATATAGTATTTACCAAAGTGGAAGGGTGGGGTGGGGGAAAGATTGAGTGGGGAATAAGATTGATGATGTATACTGTTAAGTATAGCTTTTATTTTTTTTAACTACTTATTTTGAGTGAGAAAAAAGAAAAACCATCCCCAAATCTACAAACTACCCAATCTAGTAAAAGCCCTCACACCGGAAAAGGTTTTTATTAATTGCCATGCTTGGAGCAAAGCTCTCGAGTGGTAGCTTGTTTGCCTCCTGAAATCTCAGAAGTTGTCAGCTGTCATCTGAGATGGACGGCATCCCGCCCTCAAGACCGGGAGTTTGACTCTCTACTAACTATACTAACTGGCTCAAGAACCTCTGCTAATCTGCCTCCTGGTTAACGCACAAATGTTTTCTCTGACACTTCCCAATTACCTGTCTGCAGTTTTAAAACCTGGGTTCAGAACTTACCCTGTGAGGTTTAATTACTCCGACTACTCAAGAATCTAGTCATCCTATCTGGATACATAATATTAAGAATTTAAAAC